CAAGAAGATCACTTGAGCCCATGGGTTCAAGGCTGCAGTGAGTCATGATGGTGCCACTGCACTCCAGCTTGGGTGACAGAGTGAGACCTCAACTCAAAAGAGAAAGTTTCGGGTCACAAAACTAGGGCATTTTGGCCAACTTTGCAGCCCTTGCATGCCAGACCTAGAGGCTCTGCTCTAGTCTTTAAACAGGACAATCTCGTTTTATCTTTTCCTACTGGGAACTCTACCTTCCTTCACACCTCATCTGCTGCCCACTCTTCAGGTTGAAGAAATGACTAGGCTCTCAGGTGTATCACTCAGTGGTTCCTTCATCCATTTCACCCCTGCCCTCCTAACCCTAATCTCACCTCCGCCCTCCTTACCATGTCCCTGCCCCACATGCACTCCCAACACCCCAATCCCTTCTGATTCTCCAGCCCCACACCCAGCCTCCTTCCTCATCCTGGAGACAACAGCCCCCTCAAAGGCTCCCCAAATCTTCCTAAGCCATTTCCTCCCCTTATTTCTCTTCTTCTGGTGCTGATATTCTCTGGGAAACCTGGTTCTGCCCAGACCCATTCTGAGTAGGACTAACTCACTATGAGTTCCTTCAATTGATTTTTTGGAGTCTCCAACTGGAAAGCTCCAGAAGCCACTGGCTGGTTATCTGCTCACCCCTCTCCTTAGAGGATGCTAGCTCTGATTAAATAAGCAAGTCTTAAAATGTGACATTACCAAATATAATCTGCAAATGAAAATGTCACATAAGAAAGGAAGTGTTGAATTACCACTAGATACAACAGACTGATAGGCAGTTCATCTGGTACAGGAACAGGGAAACTTTACTAAATAAACACAATTTTAGTTTTGCATGTTAAATGGTTTTAGGCTATACTAAATTCAACTTGTTCTACTTATGCTTGGCTATTAGATATTCTAAGACCTAGCCGGGAGCAGTGGCTCACTCCTGCAATCCCAGCACTTTGGGAGGTAGAGGCGAGAGGATTGCCTGAGTCCAGGGATTTAAGACCAGCCTGGGCAACTTGGCGAGACCTCATCTCCACAATAAATCAAAAAATTACTCAGGCATGGTGGCACATACATGTGGTTCCAGTTAAGTGAAGGCTGAGGCAGAAGGATTACCTGAGCGAGCCCAGCAGGTTGAGGCTGTGGTGGCAGTTAACATGCCATGCATTACAGCCTGGGCAACAGAGAGAGTGTGACTCAAAAAATAATACTAGTAATAGATATTCTAGGAACTTATTGATTAAAAATATGTCAAATTCATTTGACATGTTCAAAGTATAAACAATTGTTAAAGAGTTGCTTATTTTTATTTATAAATTATACTTAGTTTGCTACCATGGCAAAAACAAGAGCAACCACAACAAACCCAAACATTCCCGTCCAATTGATCTTCCTAAAACACTTTACTATCCTCAGGTGTCAGACCCAGCCCTTGGACAAACAGGAACCCTGTCCTCAAAGAGGACATTTTTCATTCTAAAATGCATCCCCCCCAAGGCCCAAGCAAACCTCTCCATCCAGCTGCTCCACAATCTGCCCCAAGGCCCCTTCCAGCCTGAATTCCACCTTCTCTAGCACCAGACGACAGGCCTAGCCATACCTGTGAGATCACCTCCATGAGGCCACCTCCACCTGCCCACCTCCAGGAGTCCTGCCCAGGTGGTCCTCCCTGCAGTCCATTTTGCAGTCCCCTAGTCCTAGCAGCACCTGTGCCTCCAGTGAGTCCAAGGTTCTCAGAGAGGAAAACATTTCATGTCTTTACACACAGCCCTGCATACTTGGCCAAAAATCAAGGATTTGCACAAATTATTTATTGTCTAGAAAACCACACACCTGATGCTCTTGTGCACAATGAGCTCCCCACTCCCCCATCATACTTGTCTTCATTGGTCAGAGACCTCAAAGATTGTAGAAAAGGCAACCGTATTCAGATGTTACCGGAATTATTTAAGATACTCACGACAGTTAAGAACAAGATCATAGACTTTATCTTTCTCTTGTCCCCCCCAAATAATACATTATTGTTTCAATTAAATGAAGAACTACACTTTAAATCTAATATGTACTCCTCTGTATTCTGTGAATTTTTAATGCAAATTTAAAATGTAAATTCATTTTAAAGTTGGAATAAAGTCACGGTGTTTCAAATAGGAGACCAATCATGGTCTCTTATACACATACATATAACACATATGTTTTCTGTTTGGTTTTTTTTTTTTTGAGTCAGAGTTTCACTTTGTCACCCAGGCTGGAGTGCAGTGGCACACTTATGGTCACCACAGCCTCTACCCGCTGGGTTCAGGCAATCCTTCCACCTCGGCCTTCCAAGTAGCTGGAACTATAGGCACATGCCACCATGCCTAGCTAATCTTTTTTTTTTTTTTTTGAGTTGGAGTCTCACTCTGTCGCCCAGACTGGAGTGCAGTGGCCGCTTCCGGCCACCGCAGCCTCGACCTGCTGGGCTCCGGCGATCCTTCCGCCTCAGCCTTCCGAGTAGCCGGAATTACAGGCATGCACTACCACGCCCGGCTGATTTTTTGATTTAATGTAGAGATGAGGTCTCGCTGCCCAGGCGGGTCTCGAACCCACGGGCTTAGGCAATCCACTCACCTCAGCCTCCCAAAGGCGTGGGATTGTAGAGACAAGATCTCACTAGGTTGCTCAGGCTGGTCTCAAACCCCTGGGCTCAAGGTAATCCTCTAGCCTCAGGCTCCCAAAGTGCTGGGATTACAGGGCTCAGCCACTGCGCCTGGCTACACATGTTTTTTAATTCTACAGTAATTTGAATTCAGTAAGAAAATCTAAAATAAGCATTAAGACTATTTCAGCCTTTGCATAATTACCCTAACTTACATATGCTTCTAAGCTTATATATTTGATTTTCAAACTTAAAAGGAATTTGATTTTTAAAATATAAAAGAACTTGTATAATCAACCTGAACACTGAGCTTAAAATCCAAAAATAATATTTTTAAAACAATTTATTTACATTTCACTGCTACCAATTGTCTTTAAAATTTATTGCATTGACCTGTCTGTGATACCGCCCTACACCAAAAACTGGAAAAGATGCCCTACACAAAAGGAGGTGCAGAAATATCCTTCATGTTAATCATTTACTTCTTACTGTACAAATGCCAAAATCCCTTCTGTGAAAAAAGCCATTCCATAAGAAGTCTAGGACTCGTCCTAGCCTTTGTGGCCACAAGACTCTTTTCTGTGCCCAGGCTGGAAGCCCAGCCTCCATCTTACCACCCTTCCTTCTCATCTCTACTGCAAGAGTCATTCCTACCCTTCAAAAAGTCTGAATTCTGCTTGCTCATTGAAAGGTCAATTTATTTTCAAGTTTATCATGTTGGCATGTGTAGAATTCAATTCAACACAAAAGGTTTGGCTGGGGAGTCATGAAAGAATTTTCTTTAAAAACTCAAAATCCTCAGAATATAATTATCTTTGTTGTGACATTGAGTTTAAAAATAAAATCAGATTAAAGGGCAGCCATTAGGCCCCTACCATTAATTTTATAGCATAATTTTTTTTTTTTAAGTTTTTTGTAAAAAAAAGTTTTTTGTAAAGATAGGGTTTCACTATGTTGCCCAACTCAAACAATCCTCGGGCCTCAGCCTCCCAAAGAGCTGGAATTACAGGCATAAACCAGCTTGCATGGCCCAGTCTACAGTATAACCACACATAGACAACATTTTAATTTGAAATGACATTCTTTAAAATGCTACTGCTAAGGTTTAAAGAATAAACTGGTACACTTTTCCATGGCTATCTAAGCACCAGCACAGTGCGCACACGCACGCACAAACACACACGCTCAAGTCAAGGAATTAAGAAAAGCAACAGCTCTTCTCAGCATCTCCAACAATTAAAAGCAGTTTAAGAATTTCGTTTTGTGAACAAAGGCTGTACTAGCAATGTTCTAGAAACAAGCTCCTTAGGAAATAAGCATTTCCTAGAGAGCAAGTTTGTTTTTCACGCAGAGTAAATGATAATTTCATAAAATCATAGAAACAAGCTAGAATGTTTTGTAGCAGAGGTTGACAGCTCCCTATGAGGCTCACTTAACAGTCTGTATAACCTTATAATAATCTCCAAATAACCAACTGTCTTTTAAAGAAAGTTGTTCAAAGTATCCAGTTTTCCAAAAATGTTAAGGTTCAGGGCACAGATTTGAAATCCATCATGTCTGGAGAGTTTTCCATTTTTAGGCTACTGAAAACATGGTGGGGAAAAAGGAATTCCTGGCAGCTTAAAACACCGCACTATTGAAATGTTTCACTATTGAAAATGCCTGAACAAAAAGGAAAGGAACAGAAGACCTTTTATCAGCTAAGGAGATACAGATTTTAGTTTCGGGCCGTTCTTCCAACTACACACAGTTTAACACCTCTGCTCAGTACGACCTTCCTACTAGTTATGAACAACGTATGCAAGTTCCCAGAACGCACAGAGCACCCAGAAAAACCTTGCCCCACGCGCACAGCCCAAGCAGCTCCAGCTTTAGGAAGGTGCAAGACCGAGGAAGCTGCACCTGCGGGGGAGAGTGTCGACGATGACAGACTGGAGTGTCGTGCGGTCTGTGCCCTGGCCAAGGGTCGTGGGCTGGGATTCAGCAGGGGTGTCGGGTGGGGGTTTGGGTCCTGGTCAGGGGGCAGAGAAACCGTGACGTGGGCCCTGCCAGTGGGACAGGGTCTAGTTCCTGGAGCTCGTGGGTCAAAGGAGGTCGTAGCAGCGGGATGGAGTCTAGTCCCTCGGGGTCGTAGGTCGTGGTGTAGTTCCAGGTAGTGGAACCGGGGTCTAGGTTCTGGGGACCGTGGGTAAAGATGCGGGTCCTGGTAGTGGGACGGGTCTAGTTCCTCTGGGCTGTGGGTCGAGGTGTGGGTACTGGTAAGGGAATGGAGTCTAGCTCCTCCGGGTCGTGGGTCCTGAGTCTGGGGTCCCGCCCAGCCCCGGCGCCCCAAGCCGCAGCCCCGGCCACTCACACGCGCGGCAGCTGCAGCGGCGGCGCCCCGCGCCTCTGGAACACGCCGTCCACGAACACGCCGTTCTTGCCGAGGCAGCGCAGGTAGAAGTCACCGCCAGCGTCAGGCCTGGGCTGCGCGGGCGGCGGCTCCGGGGCGGCCCCGCCATGGCCGCCGCCGCCGCCCGGGGGCGTGAAGATCTCGAGGTGGCGCCGGGAGATGAAGCTCGAGTGGCCCATGCTCACGTCCACCGAGCCCTGCGACGAGTTGCGCCCGATGGTCACCGAGCGCTTCTTCATCAGGTATTCAAACTCGCGGCCCTCCAGCCGTGCCACGGCCCAGCCACCCG